GTGGTTTGGAAGCAGCTTGGAGGCATTGCGTGGGCTTCTTGAGGGCCTCTACGACGCATCTTCGAGGCCTCCTGGGGGGGCGTCTTGGAGGTGATTGTTCCCGGGGGCCTTTTGGCCTTCTTGGGGGGCATGCAGGAGGCATCCTGGAGGCCTCCTGGGGGTGTGCAGTAGGTAATTTTTAAGCCTTCGGGAGCGCTTTGGTACGCCTTTTGGGGGCCACTTGGAGCCTCTTGGGATTTCTTGGGGACTTCTAGGGCCATTATGGCGCCTCCTGGGTGCCTCTTGGGCCGTCTTGGGCCCTTCTGGGGCCGTCATGGAGCCCAGGCGCTTCTTGGGCCCGTCCTGGGGCCCGCTTGGGCTGTCTTGGGGGCCTCCCGGGCCGTCTTGGACCCTTCTTGGGCCGACTTGAGGCCCTCTTGAGAGCCTCTGAGCCTGTTTTGGGTGTCTCTTGGGCCGTGTTGGACACTGCGAAGGCCGAAGAAGCGAACATGCAACAAATGCACGTTTTCCTAAGGGAATGGGACAGATTTTCCGTCTTTGGGCACTCTTAGGAGGAGTCCGGAGGGTACATTGGAGGCTTCTGGAGCCGTCCTCTGGAGCCGTCTGAGGAACATATTGAGTGTATTGGAGCGATGTTTCGGCAACTCAGGGCCCTCTTGGGCCGTCTGGGCGGCCGCTGGGTTTTTTATGAGCCCGCGTTCGAGCTCTCCAGGGCGAGGGGCCGACCCGGAGTGAGCTGGAGCTCCGACCTCCCCCTACCCCGGCAGAGCCACCCCGCCCCCCCCCCCCCAGCAGGGCTGAAGCTCAAGAACGGAGGCTCAGGCTATATCTGAGGGTCTTTGAAACTCACACGCCGGATCGGCGGATTTGTTCAAGGTCTTCTTGGCGAAGCGGTGCGCCTGCTTGCCATCATTCTGGACAGAGGCGCGGGCCCAAGATTTCCAGTCCTGGATTTTCTGTCTGGCATCCGCTGCCCTGCGGCGCCCCAGATCCTTCTCGAGACGCTGCCGAGTCTCCGGGAGGTCGCGCAAGCGACTTAGACCTGCATGCAGCGCAAGAAGCTGGAGATCACATTGGCCACGGTCACGGTTTTCTGGCATCGCAGGCGCCTCCATGGCCGCGATGATGTCCTGGAGCTTCTCCACCCAGAGCGTCTGTCGAGCTCGCCCCGCTGGCGGTTGCTCGAGCTCCCATGCCGCTGCCAGGGGAAAACTCGGGTGTTCGGGGCACTCGCGCACGCCCGCCGTGAGCTGCCCAATCCGCGCTGCTCCACGCCGTGGAGGCCAACTATGATGAACGCCTCGGACTTGTCGTACCACTCCTGGAGCTTGACCACCAGTGGGACGTCACGACGCCCACCTTCCCCAGCATCTCCAGGGAGGTCCCATGCGCAGTCGGGGGGCATCTGCTCCGAATGGGGACCGCACGGCAGGTCCACTGCGAACCATCGAAATCGCACCGGTTTGCTGATCCAGGTGCTTGGCTTCACCTCTTTCAGGTACAACATCGCCGGGATGTGGGGCGAGAGGGGTGCATCAACCAATGCACCAACATGTCCCACGCATGGTGCCAACGTTTCGGCAATGACGAAGTAGTCGATGACTCGTCCCTCGTCGTGCGCACCATCCCCACCACGTCCAGGGGCGCACGTCGCCGCGTCTGGGGCCACGATCACACCCTTCACCTCGGTGAGCCAACCGGTGCTGTCCAGCTCCTCGGGGGTCAAAATGAAGTCACCCTGGAGGACCCACGGGGAGTCGCGCTGGAGAATGATCTCGCCGACCCTGTTTAACACATCGATGTTCGGCTGGGTGGGGCCAGCGCCAGAGACGCCGTAGACTGCCACCAGGAGCAGGCCCTCCGGAAGTCCAGCAGCAAGCCCTCCTGAACTCGGACCTGTGCCCTGCACTCGTACCCCGGCAGGTCCACCTGCGGGGCGGGGAGAGAGGGCAAGCACCCCTCCACAGCGAGCCAGACGCCGCCGGAGTGCTCCAGGGCGCCTTCTCCCGTCTGGGCCGCAAGGCCAACCGAGGGATCTCGCCGAGGAAGAGTAACCTCGCGCAGCCATCGCACTTTGCGGGGCGACGGCCCGTGCCTCACTGAGTAACCTGGTCTCCTGTAGGCTGACAACAGTTGGGCTAAGGTTGTGTTCAGAGAGACCGTACTGTAGTCGGCCAGGCCTCCCTGAGTAGCTTGGCGGTGAGCCCAGTCTAGCAGGGAATCCGCCGTGGACCAAGCATTCACGTTCGCTCCAAGGATCGTGATGTCTGTGAGGAGCTCCCGGGGCCCGCACGTTGCGTCACCCGCCCGGCCGGCGCCCAGACTTCGCCTTGCCGATGCTGCGGAAGACCTGGCCGGTCTGCTCGTACATCCGCTTCGCCTTCTGCTTGCGCTCCTCCTGCCGCTGCCGCTTGGCTTCGGACTCCTCCTCACCTTCACTGGCTATTGCACCCCCAGCGGTCTCCGCTGGGTCGTCTACGAGGGCGATGTATGCTGCCTGGTGGTCGGTCTCCAGCATTTTCCCAGTCTGGGGCCACGGAGGCGGCCTGCGATGCGGGTGCACCAGACCGATCGCTCGGGGCCGCCTGGGCTGCGGCTGCTGCCGCCAGCGCGGACGCCTTGTCCAAAGCGGGCCGCAAGGTCTGGTCCAGGGCCGCTCCTGCGGCCTTGATCTCTTCTGGGCAATTGTCGCAACTGGCCATGGCCTGGAAGCAGCCCACCAGGGCCTCAAAGGTAGTGAACGCATCTTTGGGGTTGGCGGAAATCTGCGGCTGCGCCAGAGCCGACTGGATGCTCTTGGCAACGACGTCCCGCCACATCCTTCCTCCTGGCCTCCACCTCCTCCAGGGTGTCTTCGATCCACTTTTTGTCCAACTCAATCTGGTCGCTGAGCTTGGACATCTGGGTCTCCAGGGTCCTGATCTGGGTGTCCGTGGGCTTTTCGGCGAGCAGTAGAGACTGGAGCTCTTTCTCTCGCGCCCGCCGCTTCGCCAAGACCGCTGCCACTACAGAGTCGCCCGCCTCCGGCTCAAGACGCTTGATGCAGTCCCCGACCTTAGCGAGTTCCTCCTTGGTCGCACTCTTCTCCCCCTCCTCCAAATCTCCTCCACCTCCCACTGCTCCCTTCCCCTCTTTGAGTTGCTTCTGCAGCTTGGCGATGAGCACGTCCTTCTCCTTGAGCTGCTCTGCGTGCTTCCTGTCCTGGGGGGGTGACTTTGCCGCCAAAGGCCTGGTCCTTGTCGATCTTGCAGCCAAGGCAGGCCTTCCGAAAGTCCTTGTTGACAAAGGGCTTGGACGGGTCGCGCCGGTCCACGCAGCCCAACTTGCACTTCCAGGCATTCTTATCGGGCTCCGCAGGGACCATTGAGCCGTGGTGGTTCGACAGCGCGTGTTCGGCTCGGCTGAGCCTTCTCGCCAAACGTGGGGAGACTCGCCCAGCCCGCAGGTGCAGCAAGTCACGAGCGTCTGCGCTGAAGGCGTGCCCGGTGGTGCCAAGCCGCTTCGGAAGGCGTCTTGGCGATCGATGGGAAGACCTAGTGCTGGTCTAGGCGTAGGATAGGGCTGATGTATGGCTGGATGGCTCGCTTAAGAAAGCATCCCAAAACCAATCGCAACCAGCCACTGCCCCCTGAGCCGAAACTATGATCCCCGAAGGGTTCCTGGGGAATCTTGCCGACGCCTGAAGGGTTCCTGCAGATTTCTGCCGGATGGCTCGAGGATCCCACAGGATTCGTGGCGGATTCCTTTTTTTGATGTCTGAAGATTATTCGAGGATGTCTGGCGATTCCTGGAATATTCGTGAGGTTCCCTGCGGGTTCCTGAGGATTTCGTTTGCGGTTTCCTGAATTGAGGAACGCAAAGTGATCCTTGAAGGGCTCCTGGGGATTCTTGCCGATTCCCGAAGAATATCGGCAGATTCATGCCGGATGCCTGAAGAGTTCGTAAGGATTCGTGGCCAGATTCCTGGTGGATGTCTGAAGTTGTTTGAAATATGTCTGGTGGTTCTTGGAGGATTCGCGAGAGGGCACCTGGGAATTCATGACGATTCTCGCTGCGGATCATTGAAGTTTTTGGCGGAAGCAGAGTGATCTTTATACGGTTCGTGGTTATTCTTGCCGATTCCTGAAAATTCTTCAAAAAGTTTCCTGCAGGATGACTGAAGGATTCCTGAGGAAACCTGGCGGGTTTCTGGTGGATGTGTGCAGATGTTTGAAGGATTTCTGGCGAATCGCGGAGGATTCGTGAGGGCCCCCGAAGATTCGTAAGGATTTCTTTGCGGGCTCCTGAAGATTGTTGAGGCACGCAGACTTATCCTTGAAGGGTTCCTGAGGACTCCTGTCGATGCCTGCCGATTCGTGAAGATTTCTGTAGGGTTGGTTCCCGAAGGATTCCTGAGGATTGCTCCAGGTTTTGCCGATCCCTGGGGGATTCGTGATGATTCCGGAGGATTCCTCAAGATTCCCAAAAGGATTCCTGTGGGTCCCTACAGATTCCAGAGGATTTGTGCAGTTTCTGGAGGACTCCAGGATGGTTCTTGAGGATTCGTGAGGACCGAGGAGTCCTGCCGATCCTTTGGGAGACTTCCTGAGATTCCTGACAATTCGCTTCCCCCCCAGGAATGTAATGCATTCATTCGGTGCTAATGGTATCGCTCGGCGCCCCCCCTCGGGATTTACTAAATTTTCTAGTGTTCGGGATAACGGGGGGGATCGGTCATGTGTTCCGACGGTTATGCCAAATTCCTTTCTCAGTTTTCACCCACAAGCGTCAATGGACATATTGGGTCTCGTTGCGTATATCGACACATTCGAGGTGGATGTGTATATCGACAACGCGGCCGATGCGTTCGACGCAGTGCAAGGTCGGAGAAATAGTAGATCGGTCTACGGCAGGTTCCTGTCATAGAGGCGGTCCCACATGGTACTCCAGCCGCGCCTCCCCCCTTGCTTCTCACCCGATCGCCACCCCCTCCTCTCCATCAACTTCTCCTCCTCGTGCAGGGGTACACTGTTTCGGAGCTCTCCGTCAAAGAGTCCTGCAAGATGACCGTCTGTAAACCCACGGACGCGCATGCGTGCTGCGAGAAGAAGCAGACGTGTCACTCGTTCGACTGGGAGCTCTGCCCGACGGAGACCCGCCACTTCGCGAGGAGGAGTAGAAGAGAAGGTGGATGTGGCGCGCGCGCAACGCTGGCATAGACGCCTGGTCGTGCTCAATCGCGGTGGAGTTGGGTGGAGGAGGGAGAAGAGAAGAGGTCTGAGGAGGGAGGGGTATAAGGGAGGAGAAGAGGAGGGAGGAGGGAGGCGTCAGTTCTTCTTCCCTATCCCCCTCGTCCGCCTTCCCCTCCTCGCCTTCTTCTCCTTCTGTTATTTCGCCTGCTTTTGCTCCTCCTGCTCCCAGGAGGAGAAAGAGGTGGATGAGGAGGACGATCGGAGGCCCAAAGAGGCCCCCGATTGCGAGGCGAGAGAGGGCGCACCAGAGCCTGCTAGAGCATCTTTGGGCGGGCGCGCCTCAACTCTCCAAGTCAGCTGCCCTACTCCTGCCCCATCCCGCGTCCTTATGGTTAACTCTAGTAATGAAGTTCACCAGCGTGGGCCCAAAACAGAAAGTAAGTACAACGTGGGTGTGTAAGCTATCTGGTGTAAGTTATGTGGGCATGTGGTGCAGCCTATGTAGTGCAACCTATGTGGTCTAAAGAAGTGTCGTGTAGGTGTAAGCTATGCGGTGCAAGCTATGTGGCGTAAACAATGTGGTTCAGTCTAGGCGGTGCAATCTAGGTGGTACGGGTTACAGATAGGTGGTTCAAGCTATGCGGCCGCCTAGCGCACGAGGCGCCCACGATGCGCCCACGGGCGGACACCAGGCGATACCTCGGCTGACCTGCCCAGCGCACGAGGCGCCCACGGTCGGACACCGGGCGCAGCCTCGGGCTGACCCACCCAACGCACGAGTCGCCCGCGAGGCGCCCACGGGGGGAAACAAGCGCAACCCGGTGAACCCGTATAATCCTTTGAAGGGCTTACAGTAGAGCCCCCAAGTCCGAGCGTTTCTGTGGGGGAGAACTACATGGACATCAGTGTTTGAAGATCCACGCGGATTTCTCAGATCGTCGTTGTGCACCCTTGGCGGCGCCTGCGGTGCCGCCTCTGGCGCGTTCTGCGCGCTTTGGCAGGGGGGCCTAGCGCTGATCCACGACACCCGTTTGGACCTTCGACATTTTGCAGTAATGCCGTTTCTCTTTCTATATATCTATATATATATATATATATCATTCCCCATCGCGCCACCAAGGCGTCGGTAGGACGGGCCCGTTCCTTCGCCTGAGACTCCCTTGCTGCTTGTGGACCAGCTGCTTGAAATGTCAAACAATTGCAGGGATGGATGGCGGGTGGTTTTCAGAACGTGGCTCTCGCCCCAGCGCGGCGTGCATTCGCTTTACAAGCGCCCAACAGCTACAAGGACGGAGGGCGGGCGGGTTCAACTCCGTCTGTCTCTCGTCTTAGCGCTCAGCGCCGAGCGAAGTCGTTTTAACAGTTCCCAGCAGTTACAAGGATTCAGGGCGGGTGGTTTTCAAAGTCCGGCCTTCGCCCGAGCGCCGTGCACATTCGTGTAACCAGTGTCCAGCAGGAGGGCTGGCGGTTTTCATCTATGGTTCTCGCATCAGCGCCGCGCATATCTATATTGCATGTCCCCGACAGTTATAAGCATGGACGGTTTTCCATTCTCAGAATGGCTATCTTGCTTCAGATCTCCTGAAGGCCTCGTCAGGTGTGTAAGCTCGTGCAGCAGCTGCACGATGCCACGCGGACGGAGGGCGGCTCTTTTTCAAAACGGGGAGCTTGCTTGAAGTTCCTTCGTTTCTTCGAAGGGGTCGGCCAGAAAAACACCCAGCTTGTGCAACAGTTGCACCGCTCGGCGGCGGTTCCTTTTCAAGCCAGTTCTCTCGCTGGCCACTTCCTCGAGCTCTACGGTGCTGTCTCGTCGCATTCTACAGTCGACGCGCCCTGTGAGGGCGCGCCCTCGTCTAGGGTGCCCCTGTGCCCTTGCCTCCGCGGCCCGTCATTTGCCGTCTTCGCTGGTCGCCCGCTGCCCCCCCAACATCCCAACTTCGGCCACCAAGGGTCTCGCGTCCTTGCCGCCCGTCCTCAACACTCCGGAGTGGGAACAGAAACACACAGACACAATGAAGCGTCGATTCCCCAGAAACTATGGGAAACTATGGGAAGTGTGGGGGGACTCCACACTTCCCATAGTTGGGACAGAATACATAGTGGGGATTAGACAAACACTCAGAAAATATGGGAAACAATTGGGAATCCACTTAGTTGGAGACCATCTCTTTATTGCTTGGGGCATGACGGGCGTCATGGCCGCCGCCCCCCCCACCCCCCCTATGACGTAACGCTCCCCCCCCCAGTGCGCTCCGGGCACTGCCGCCGTGCGCGCTGGGATCCGCGTAGGTGTCCGCGTAAGAATCCGCATAGGAGTCTGGTCCGCAGTCGTCGTCGTCATCGTCGTCGTCGTCGTCGTCGTTGTCGTCGTCGTCATCGCTCGTGGCTCGTCGTTCATCGTCGTCGTGCGCACGGTCGCGGCTGGAGCCTTTTATTTAACCCGGGCCTATCATGGCAATCATCTGAGGGTGTGTGGAGGGGGTCGATGACATCTTGTTTCGCGCCGGCGGCATCTAGGAATGCCTAGGAATGAGGGAGGACGGGTAGCACCAGCATGTCAGGGCTCGTTTCGATTCCTCCGATTCGATTCGATTCGATTTCGATGGCTTCCGATTCCGATTCGATTCGACTTGAGATTCCGACTTGGGCTCCGATTCTTTATTGGAGGCCTACTAGCCTGCCGATGTCTGCCGATTCGACTTTTCCCGACTCGGCTGTCGATTTCCGCCGATCCGATTCATTTCGATCGCCGATCCGACTTATCGATTCGATTTTGGGTTCTCCTGGCATGTAGGTGGCGATCTGCACCACAACGCCTGTGTACACCACTGTGCCTGCGTGCGCCACCACGCCTGTGTACACCGCACCGCCTATGTACACCACGGCAGCCGCGTGCAACACAGCGCCAGTTTGTGCCACCGTGCTCGACGGCAACAGCTGTTGGGTACACCGCAGCGCCTGCTTACACCACATCAGCCGTGTGCAACACAGCACCAGTGTACACCGTAATGCCTGCGTGCATTGCAGTGCCTGTGTGCACCACGGCGTCTGTGTGCACCACAACAACAGTGTGCAACACAGCGCCACACTTGCATATCGAATGTTCGAAGGAATCCGTATTACAAAGTGGAGCGCTTGTGGATTCCACAGAAATCAATACAAAGGAACCCTCATGGACAAAGGATCGCCGCTGGAATCTACGAGTTCTCCCGAGTCCGCCCGCATCACCCTGACTTCTCCCATCTGCGTCCAGGAGGCTCCTGCTAAATTGGCCGTGCGAGAACCAAGTGGACCGATTCAATAGACCATCATGCGGTGCACTGCGCGCTGAATTGCGCACGTGCGCTGTAGCGCCACCCAGCACGACAGGGGGTAAGGAAGAGGAAGAGGACGAGGAGGAGGAGGAAGACGAAGAGGAGGAGGAGAAGGAGGTGGAGGTGGAGGTTGAGGTGGAGGAGGAGGGAAGAGGAACAAACATCGCATTCGATTATCAGCACTGTCCTGCACGCAGGCACTGGTGTACAGTCGCGCTGCGTTGCACGCGGATGCTGTGGTGTAGACAAGCGCTGTGGCGTGCATAGGCGCTGCGGTGCACGCAAGCATTGTGGTGTACACAGGCGCTGTGTTGCACACGGTTCTTGCGGTGTACGCAGGTGTTGTGGTGTTCGCGCGCGTTGTGGTGCACGCGAGCGATGTGTACAAACTCGCAGTGGGGCATATCGCCACCTACATTTTGCTCACGTCGTCCTCGTCGTCGTCGTCGTCGTCGTCGCTCGTCGCTCGTCGCGCGTCGTGCGCGCGGGCGCGGCTGTGGTGCGGGAACCACACGGCGGGGGGGGGGCGTTACGTCATACCCCCCCCGCCCCCCCCCCATCACGCCCGTCATCGCCGAACATAAAGAATCGCTCTCTTGTGGTGCAAGGGCGCCTTCGAGGGCGCGAAGTTATTCTCGCTTCGCGCTTCGCGGTTCGGCTCCGATTCCTCCTTATCCTTCTCGTTTCCCCTGGGAGGCGGCGCGAGAGCGCGAAGTTATTCGCACTTCGCGCTTCGCGCAGCGCGAAGCGCGAAGTTGGGAGCCCTTGTTGTGTCTACTTATCTGTGTCTCCCGGGGCCCCTTCAACCACGCGCCTCGACTGCAGCTCGCAGGGTGCAGGGCCGTGCCGCTCCCGAACAGACGCAGGGCTCGCCTCGCCCGCCGGGGGCAGTCCCACCGGGCGCGCGCGATCCCGCACCGGCGGGAGGGCCGCCCGTGGTGAGGCGGAGTGCCCATGCAGAGTCCCACGTGTCAGTGCAGTCGGCCCAGATTGGTAGGTCGACCCTGCCAGAGCGTGCGCCCGTGGAACGATCGAGGCATTATTTCTAGTCCGAGTTATCCACGTTTCTCTTCAGCCTGGCCTAGTCTCGCCCGCTCGTTCGCCGATTTTTTGTTGCTCCGCCGTCGGCCTGCGACCCTCGGGTTGTTGCCACGGGAGGGCGTTCGCCAATCGCCGTCCGAGGCCTTGAGCACCCGCGGGGTTCCTGAGATCTCTAAGGCCCCTCGAACCTAAAAAACAAACTGGTAGGTCGATCCTGCCAAATCAAGGGTACCCTGGTGTCCTGTGTCTCGCGTCCCATGCTTCTGAAATTCCTGTGGCAGTGTGGCCCTCGGAAGGGTCTTGTGTCCTCTCGCGTGTCCTGTCCAATCGAGTCCGACTGTATCGTTTAAACGATCCCCATTCCCATCCCCATCACCTTCGAGACCTTTATTAAATTACCACCCCAGTTGGGGATGCACCCCTCGAAACCCGAAGGGAACGACCTATATCTCCATCCGGGGGTGTAAATCGGCCAGGGGGGCCCAGGCCACGCCGCTGGGGATGGGGATCGGATACACGAGACTCAATGGGGAGGGGACTTTTGGGACGGGAGGGCGGATTTCAGCATCGCGGATGGGTTTTGGGTGTTGCTCTGGTCTTCCCCCCCCCCTTCCTTGTTCCTCCTCTTCCTCCTGTCCCCCTCCCCCCCGTCCCTTCTTGCGCAGAGTCCAATGGGGGAGGGGGCTTTTGGGACAGGAGGGTGGATTCCAGCATCGCGGATGGGTCTTGTGTGTTGCTTTGGTCTCCCCCCCACCCTCCTTGCTCCTCCTCTTCCTCCTGTCCGCCCCCCCGTCCCTTCTTGCGGAGAGTCCCACGGGGAGGGGACTTTTGGGACGGGGGGGGTGGGTTCCAGCATCGCGATGGGTATCGTGTGTTGCTCTGGTCTTCCCCCCCCCTTCCTTGCTCCCCTCTTCCTCCTGTCCCCCCCCCTTCCCTTCTTGGGGAGAGTCCCAGGGGGAGGGGACTTTTGGGACGGGAGGGTGGGTTCCAGCATCGCGGATGAGTCTTGTGTGTTGCTTTGGTCTCCCCCCCATTCTTTGTTCCTCCTCTTCCTCCTGCCCCCCCCCCTCCCTTCTTGCGCAGAGTCCCATGGGACGGGGACTCTTGGGACGGGAGGGTGGATTCCAGCATCGCGGATCCCCCCCCTCCTTTCGTGCAGAGTCCCATGGGGATGGGACTCTTGGGACGGGAGGGCGGATTCCAACATCGCGGATGGGTCTTGGGTGTTGCTCTGGTCTTCCCCCCCTCCCCCCCTTCCTTGCCCCTCCTCTCACTCCTGTCCCGTTCCCCCCCCACTCCCTTCTTGCGGAGAGTCCCATGGGGAGGGGACTTTTGGGACGGGAGGGTGGGTTCCAGCGTCGCGGATGGGTCTCGTGTGTTGCTTTGGTCTCCCCCCTTCCTTCCTTGCTCCTCCTCTTCCTCTTGTCCCCCTCCCCCCCCGTCCCTTCTTGCGGAGAGTCCCACGGGGAGGGGACTTTTTTGGATGGGGGAGTGGGTTCCAGCATCGCGGATGGGTGTTGTGTGTTGCTTTGGTCTCCCCCCCCATTCTTTGTTGCTCCTCCTCGTCCTCCTGTCCCCCTCTCCCCCCTCCCTTCTTGCGCAGAGTCCCATGGGGATGGGACTCTTGGGACGGGAGGGTGGGTTCCAGCATCGCGGATGGGTCTTGCGTGTCGTTCTGGTCTCCCCCCTTCGTTGCTTTCCCTCTTCCTCCTGCCCCCCCTCCCTTCTGGCAGAGCCCCATGGGGAGGGGACTGGGGCGGGAGGGTGGATTCCAGCATCGCGGATGGGTCTTGGGTGTTGCTCTGGTCTTCCCCTCCCTCTTTGCTCCTCCTTTTCCTCCTGTCCCCCTCCCCCCCGTCCCTTCTCGCGGAGAGTCCCACGGGGAGGGGACTCTTGGGACGGGAGGGTGGGTTCCAGCATCGCGGATGGGTCCTGGGTGTTGCTCTGGTCTCCCCCCTTCCCCTCCTTGCTCCTCCTCTTCCTTCTGCCTCCCCCCGTCCCTTCTTGCAGATTCCTATGGGGAGGGGACTTTTGGGACGGGAGGGTGTATTCCAGCATCGCGGATGGATCTTGGTTGTTGCTCTGGTCTTCATCCCCCCCTCCTTCCTCAGGATGGACCGCCCGCCTGTCCCCCAAAGGGTCACGTGATCCCTACATGTTACATGATTCGGCAGTACGTTTCTCCAGGAGTGTGGCGATCGAGATCAGTCGGCCTCATAGTCTCCAGCGCTTTGGTGTCCAGTCTGGGTCCAAGGAACCGCATTGTGGATCGTATCATCATCATCATCAGCAGCAGCATCAGCAGCATCATCATCATCAGCATCATCATCTTTAGCATCATCATCATCGGCATCGTCATCATCATCATCATCATCATCATCAGCATCATCATCAGCAGCATCATCAGCATCACCATCAACATCATCATCATCATCATCATCATCAACATCGTCATCATACTCATCATCATCATCATCATCATCATCAGCAGCAGCAGCAGCAGCAGCATCCTCATCATACGCGTCGCCGGCATCATCATCACCATCATCATCATCATCGTCATCGTCATCGGCATCCTCGTCATCACCATCATCATTATCATCAACACCATCATTATCACCATCATCAGCATTAGCATCGTCATCACCATCATCATCACCAGCATCCTTCATCCTCCTTTTCCGTATGTCCCCCTTCCCCTCTTTTCTTGCGGTCTTCCGCCCACGAGTGCTTGACCAGATTTGTTCAATCGTGCGTTCGGCGGAGGATTCCATGTGCATTGTGCCAACAAGTTCCAAGACTGTTTGCATCCACCAGCGCTCTTCGTATGCAAAGAGTCCTCCCTGAGCAGCGGTCACCCCAGTTTAACCTAGCGTGTCCTCGCTCATCTGACGACAGCTTGCCCACCAAGTGGTCCATCAGTGCAAGCTATGTTGGTTTGCCATGGCTTGCCCTGGCAAGGTTCACCTGAGCTTACTGTACTGCGTGCGCAGCTAACCATGGCGTGCAGTCCATGTGTCATGTCATATTGGCATCTTCGCGAGCCACATGTTGGCACACGGCGCTGTATGACGTCATCGTAACCTTCGCGCTTCGCCACGGGCTGTTTGGCCATGATCCGACGGTAGGTTCGAAGAGGATCAGATGCAGGGCCACGGGGTCTGCCAGGGGGCAGGGCGCGGCAGGAAACTAGTCACAACAGTGTTCGATGGCTGCTGGTTGTGGCCACTCTGGCCAACCCTGCTGGCGAGAATCTGCTGCCTGAAGTCCGACTCACCTGAGCTACCCTATGGACCAGGGTTCTTCCGATTCTGATGGAGGAGGAGGCGGAGGAGGAGGAGGAGGAGCAGGAGGATGAGGGCAGCATCGGCAATGAGGGGGACGAGGAAGGCGACGTTTAGTAGGAGGAAGAGTATGAAGACGAGAAGAAGGAGGAGGTACTGCCATCCCAGGACTCTTACTTGCGGCACGACGCGAAGCAAGTGCCCTGCTCGAAGGTGGAGTGCTCCGCAGACGACATTCCCATCTGCTGCGTGGGCGTGTCGCTGCCCCAAGACGATCCCCCTGCCAGGAGCTGGGAAGAGCAGGTCAGGGCTGGACTTAAGTCGGTCCTGTCCCTCTACAGGGGGAATTTTCAAAAATAGTCAAACATAGTGGATTTGTTTTGGAGTATGTATTGGCCAGTTTGGAATATGTTTTGAGTCTTTCTCATTTAATCGCTTCGCTCATGCCGCCGGCCCTGGAGCCCTCTTTAGGGCCTCTTGGGGGCTTCTTGGGGACCTCTTGGGAGTCTCTTGGGGCTCCTTGGCGGCGTTTTGGAGGCCCCCAGGGCCTCTTGGGGGGCTCTTGGGGGTAGTCGATTGCGGCTCCCCCCTCGGAGGCCACGATCCTCGTGAGGGGTGTCGAAAAATACCCTCCCCTGGAGTGGTCTGGTGGCTTCTCCCGGGCTTCTCTCGGGACCTTGCCGGGGTACTTTTCGTCCGGGGGCCCCCAGGGGCCGCTCCGCGCGCGCGAACTAGAAATATTGTTAACAAGTTACCGGAGATCTTAGCACGCCTCTGGCCCGTTGGGCCGGCGAATTTTTCGTCGAGAATCACCCTGTAGGAGGACATGCCCGACTTAAGGCTGGACCTAAACGGTGTTTTGGCGATTCCGTGGGCCGTTTTCGCTTCGATGTCGTTTTGCGGTGAAGGCGGATTGAAGACAAAACGAGGGAAAACGAGAACAAAGCGAGATCGAAAAACATCGTTTAGGTTCAGCCCTTGAGCAGGTTAGCTGCGTTCCAGAGCCCAGCGAGCTTCCATTCCGATATGCCAATTCTCGAATTCTTTCAGAGACCGCTGTCGTTCTCCGTACGCCGCTCCGAGCATCCCCATGGTCAAAGCACAGAGAGGGGCCCTCGGCGAGATCTGTCGTGCTCGGCCCGGAGTAGCTGCTCTCAGCAAGGCGGCGGTATGCAAAGACCGCGTTCCCGCGTCTTCTCAACGCGGAGCAAGGTCATGGGGCAATTGACAGGGGGCGCTGAGGGACACCGAAGGAGCAGGGGAGCAATGAGTAATTGGTGTCGACAAGTACTTGCGACCACTTGCGAATCCTGCATAAAGCCTTCGGGATCAATCGACTCTGGGGTATTGGATACCCCGCTGGAGTTCACTTGGCTGCAGACATCTTTCAACTTATGTGAACTCCAGCTGTTTTTCCAGAAATCTGACCTGCGGGGGTAGTGTTCACACGTGGCTGCCCAAGGTTGGGGACAGGGGTAGCGGGATGTGGACGCCCAAGCAAACAGAGTTCGCCTGCCACCGAACTCTTGTGCTAGATCTGCATGCCCTCACGCTCGCGGTGGCCGCAGGGGGGGTGCCTCCTCGTCACCACGGCCCGGATCGCAGATCCCTTCGGAACGCTGTCGAGGGCTGCGCTCGCGGCGTTCCCGGTGCCACTCTGGCCAGGGCGCGGCGTTCTGCGGCCTGAAGCAGCACGTTCAGCTGCAGTCTCGTCAAGGCGCGCGGCACGCATGGCAGTCTTGATGATGCGATGGCGCGTTCGAACAGATTCCACCGCCAGAACATGTCCACATCCACCGCTTCGGAGTCTTGCCCGGGGATCTCGGGGACCGGCGGATGTGGATATCTGCCCGCCCGCGTTGGCGGGCGGATATCCATATCCGCCGCTCCCCGAGTCCTTGGGGCACGACCCAGCGGCAGTGGATCTGGTCATAATCTGGCGGCGCACAGATGCTCCGGGCGCAACAAAGAACCACAACCGCAATTAGGTGGATTGTTCGGGAGGGCCCTTCGGGGGAGAGCCCACCGATCTCGACACGAGCACTCTGGTTGTAGTAGTGGTCGATTTGGCCGTCTGGGGGCGCCCATATCGACCACAAGCACAACTAAACTAGTTTCGGTGTTCTGACGATTGCTGGCATACGCAGAACATCCCCCAGGGTGCGTCCTCGATGTGGTTGCGGTCGCCTGCTGTCTCCGCAGCATGGCAGTCTGGAGGAGGAGGAGGAGGAGGAGGAGGAGGAGGAGGCGGAGGAGGAGGATGAGGAGGAGGAGAAGGAGGAGGAGGATGCGGAGGAGGTGGAGGAGGAGGAGGCGGAGGAGGAGGCGGAGGAGGAGGAGGAGGAGGAGGAGGCGGCGGAGGAGGAGGAGGAGGAAACCGTTGGCTTTGCGTGTCGCGCCGCCCGCCTGCTCCCTGCTCCTCCCGCTCTCGCGCTTCACGCCGGGCCCCCAGGGCCTTCAGGCCGTCCGCGCGCACCCCTTCCGTCCTCCACGGCCGCCCTCTTCTGTTCCTGTGTCCAGCCTGTCCCTCTACAGGAGGAATGTTCAAGAATGGGCAGAAAATGGTTGAGCATGTTGATTTTCCACTAGGCAAGAATTCAAACAATAGAACAGACTGGACTTTCAAACATGTTCAAGAATAGACATGAATAGAAACACATGTCTTCCACTACTGTTGATTCCGTTTGAACATGTTGCTGACCGTGTTTCAGTTTCCCTCCAGTATCCGCCTGCAGGGGGGGCATGCCCGACCTGGTTCTGTTCCATGCGTCCCCGCGCGCTCCGCGCGCAGCGCGCCCCGCCGACCCGCGATCGCCGACGCTGCCGAGGAAGCAGGAGGGTGCCGAGCTGGTGGCTTGGGCCCACCATGCTTCGGCGTGGCGCGCCGAGCACGCCCCAGCCCCCCCCTCCTCCTCCTCCTCCTCCTCCTCCTCCTCCTCCTCCTCCTCCTCCTCCTCCTCCTCCTCCTCCTCCTCCTCCGCCCCCAAGCATCGACGTTCCCGGCTTTTCCCAGCCTCCCGCCCCGCGAGGCAAAGCGGTGCGCCGGTCAGCCCGCAGGGCACGACGTGTCGCAGGAGCTGCCGCGCGGGACGCTGAGCAGCAGTGCCTGACCGTAGGCCGAGCCACGCACGGACCGCGCTCAGTATTTTTAAACCCATCATCGTTCTTATCCAGGGCACAGTTCGATCCGATCGATCCGATTTGATACCAGTTTCGGCCAATTCGATCCGATTTGATTTCGATGTCCCAGCGATCCGGCGAGGCACTATGCTTGCATGACGCTGTTGTGCATCCTGGCGCAGCCGTTCCGATTAGATTTCGATTCCGTGCCGATGCAGCCCGATCCGACGCACATTTGAATTCGATCCGATTTGAATCACGGGCCATCGTCTCTCAGCCCCACCATTAGTACACCGCCAGGTGGGGATGGGGTTATACCCCTCGAAGCCCGAAAGGAACACCCTGTATCCCCACCCAGTTGTGCATCGGCCATTGGGACGCAGGCCACGACAGAGGGGATAGGGATCAGTTGAACGATGTTCACACGTGGTTTCTGATAGCACAGCCACAGGGAGGGCGTCTGGGGACCGGCGTTACCGCCCGTTCCTGGCCTCCAGGGCTGCCCGAATACGTCCAAGAGCCCCTAGTCCAATGCAGTGCAGGGGGGTCGTTTGGGAATCGTCGCCCCTTCGTCGTCTCCTCCTTCTCCTCTGCCCTGCTCTCTTCCTGCTGCTGCTGCTCCTCCGCCTCCTCCTCCTCCATCTCCTACCACCTCCTCCTCCTCCTCCTCCTCCTCCTCCTCCTACTCCTACCTCCTCCTTTCTACTTATCTCACCCGGTTCGCTACGTAAGTCTGCCACGTTCTCGGCAGTTTGGCCATGGGCGCAGCGCGGAGCGGCGCCTGTGCTTGTAATCCTGGTCATCGTCTCCTCCTCTATCCCTTTTTCTCATGAACAACTCCTCCGTGCCGCACCCTCAAACGTGTTGGTAGGGCGGGCCGGGCGTTTCGCCAGAGACTTCCTCACCATGTATGATCTTGCAGTTGGAAGTTCGCAACAGTTTCAATGAAGAAGAAGGGCGGGTGGTTTTCGAAATATCGCTCTCGCCTTAGCGCTGCGCAAATCAGTGCTCAACGCTGCAGCAACTTCAAGGATGAGGGACGAGTGCTTTTCAAACTGTGTCTATCGCTTTTGCGCCGCGTGCAATCGTCTCAACAGCTTGCAGCATATTCAAGGATTGATTGCGGTTCCGTTTCAACATTTCTGTCTCGCCTTGCCGCCGCGCGCATGCGCTGCAAGAGCTTACAACAGTTCGAATGATCTTTAGGGCTGAAGTCCCAGGACATGGTGTGCTGGCACAATTTAGGATCGTCAGAACTGTCAGGACGCAGCATTCGGTTGTCTTGCTGCGTTGGCGTCTCAGGATTCTGTTTAGGTTTTTTGGAGGGTTCTCGGACGGCTGCATTTCCCTGCCATCCAGTGGTGTTGGGTCTTCGTTGTGAAGAGACAGCGCCCAGCGTTTACTCCTCACTCCTCTTCACCCTCCTCCCTCTTCCCATGTCTGCCTTTGCTCTCTGCATGTCCACTATGTCATATCTCACACGCTTCGTGGCCCCATAGGGAGCTCCACCGAAGACCCTAGCGGCTCCGTAGCCATTTTGGCTCAAGCCGCCCCCTTTGCTCGCTCTCGTTTTGGGCCCCGCGGAAGGCCGCAGAGTCGCGCGCGCTTGGGACATGGCTGCGGGCGACTGACAAGCTGCCCATGTGGCGGCCGAGCAGCCACGGCTGGCAGGTGCTGCCGCTTCTCTCTGGCCCTCGCGCCGTGCTCGCCAGGCGGCGGCGCGCGGCGCCGCCCAGGGGAAGCTGTCTGCCGCCCTCGTGCGCGTGCTGGAGCTCGAGTCCAGGGTCGCGGACCTCGAGGCGGAGCTCGCGAGCACGCGGGAGGTGCACGAGGCGGCGGTCCAGCAGGTTGTGGCCCTGGCGGGCGCTGGCGCGGCTGGGGACGCGGACAACGTGCTGGCCGAGGAGCTGGTCGGTCGGCTCGCCCTCGAAACGCCGCTTCTCGCAGCGGGCCTGGCCGCGGAGCAGGGGAGCGTGGCTTTCCCGTGTTTGCCGATGCTGGGCAAGCAGAGGTGCAACGCGGCGGCTCACGTTTTCGATCGTGCCGTGGCGGTGATCGAGAAGGTGGGCATGGCGGAGCTCAACGCCATGCAGCGCGGTTCTGGGCGCCGCCTTCGTTCGTCAGTGAGGCGGGGCCGTGGTGGAGGTCGGCTACCTCATGGTGCTGGCGCTAGCGATGGCGCTCCTCTTCCTCCTCCCCGCCCCGCAGGCGCTGCTCTGCAACCTGGAGGGCCCAGACGCTGCGTGCGCAGGCCGCCGTCGGCGACGGCGGCGCCCGCTCGCCGTATGCCCTCCGCGCGCGCCGCGGCCGATGCGGTGCCGCTGCGCTGGGCCCTGGCCGGCTGCCGTGGGCGCAGCCTGCAGCCTGGTACCGCCTTTGCGTTGTCCGAGCGCGTCCGCCGCGCTCCCGGGCCGAGGCCCGATCTTCTGGCGTCAGGCGCGCGTTGGTGGAAGTGGGGCGGCGGGGGCGGCGACGATGGCGATGCTCACCTTCTCGCGCCTCCTGCTGGCGTGTATTCCCACCCTGACGACACGCTGGGCTTCAACTTTCCCTCGGGGGTCGTCGGCGACGTCGGCGACGGCCTTGGCGGGCTCTCCGGCGCCGAGGTGGCTGATGATGGAGACCGGTTGGGCGCTGGGGTCTGCGGCGCCGCCTGCGCGGCCACCCTGCCCATGCATGCGTGTGCGAGCCTCGTGGACGAGTACCTTCTGGCCCATCCTGCTGCGCTCTTCAACGGGGGTGCCGTAGGGCCAAAGGATGGCAAGAGGGAGCTCGGGCACCGGGACTCCTTGGGCAGCGACGCCCACGTCGACGCGGAGGAGACCACGATGCTGGACGACGGCGGCCCTGAAATCCCACTGGCTGGAGGAGTCCCCTTCAGTGCGGTGGAGGCCGCTCTAAGAGGGGCCACGCGGTTGCGCGTGCTGCAGCAGCGTGTCCGCGGCGGCGTCGATGCTCATCCAGATGTTGACATTCTCTCTCACGCCCAGCTGCTGGGCGAAGTGGCATTCGTCCTCGGCGTCGACAGTGCCCCCTTCTCCCAGTCGAGCAAGGCTACGCTCAGGAATCTGCGCCGAAAGCTTTATGCTCTTCGCCCGACGGGGGCCTTTTTGTACACGCAGTGAGGTGTGTTCCGTTTGCACCGTCTTATAGTTTCTCTTCTCACGATCTGTTTCTGTTCATTATCTCGCGCACGTGTTTTCGAGGGAGTGGCTTCGGTGGTCTACCCTCGGCTTGAGGGTGGCACGGCCTGGTTGATAGCGCGAGCAGTGTTGTCACAGGTGACGCCGCACACCTCCGCTCCCAGGGAATGGCTTCGGTGGTTTACCCTCGGCTTGAGGGTGGCACGGCCTGGAGGATGGCGCGGGCTGCGCAGTCCCAGGTGACGCCGCACACCTGCTCAGGAGTTCGTTTCGCTTTCCCCTCCCTGCGGAGGCGTGAGAGCCCGATCAGCCAGCGCGATGGGCTCCAGCTAGGGCTGGGAGCAGGGCCGTGCTCTGGCTGTATTTTCTCCCTTCCTCGGTGGAGTCGGGCCGCTGCCTGTTTTGCAGGCCCGCGGTCGCTCAAGTGGAGTTGCCGCGCCGAGGTGGTCGAATCATCTCCCAGGGGCCGCTGCGTGCAGCCTTGAACCTGAGCTCGTGCCGCGCGGCCCTTGATCACAGCTAAAAAAAACACCCTAGCGGCAGGGTCCACATGCGCCCCCCCCGCCGATCTCAATTCACCCACCACGAGGATCGACGGTCCCAGCGGAAGGGTCCGCATGCGTCCCCCGCCCATTTCGGCACACCCCTCACGAGGATCGTGGCCTCATAGGGAGCTCCACCGAAGGCCCCAGTGGCAGGATCCGCATGCGTCCCCCCTCTGGTTTCGGCACGCCCATCACGAGGATCGTGGCCCTGTAGGGCGCTCCACCGAAGGCCCTGTGGCAGGGTCCGCATGCGTCCCCCCGCGCATTTCGGCAGCCCCTCACGACGGTCGTGGCCTTATAGGGAGCCCGACCGGAAACGGTACCTTCAACGCGGTACTCACAACTGTATATGATTGGGCTCTTCCGCGAAGATAATTTAGAGGAGCGCTTCACGCAACGAAGACATGTATTTTTGTAGGGGCGTATGGAGAGGAACGTTGGAGGGAGGGTTTATTGCAACACTGTTGAGGCGGCTTGGGTTTACCCTTGTCCTCCTCGACCTTATTATTATCCTTCTCCTCCTCTTCCCCCTCCGTTTCCGCGTCGGTCTCTTCTGCTGTATTGGATGATGCCAGACTGCGTCGGAGCCTACATATCTCCAATCCAATGGCTCCGGAAAGCCTCCAGTACTCGGGCAGTGCCGATCGGGGGCCACCAGTGGGAGGGCCACCGCCTCCTCCTGGAAATCGAGGGTCGAGGAGGATGGAGGACCGAGGATCGATGAGGTTGCGGATGTGTCTGGGCGTCATCGGGCGTCTGGGGCGTTCCTGGGGGGTCTCTGGGGTGGCCCGTTTCTTCGAGGAGGTGCCGACCCCCCTGGTGGTGACCCCCTTGGCCTCGCCTGCCCCCCCCCCCGTCCTCTCCTCCTCCCCCCCTCCTGTCCTCCCACCCCCCCGTCCTCCCCTCCTCCCCGTCCTCCGTCCCTCCTCCCCTCCTCCTCCCCTCCTCCCCTCGTTTTCCTCTTCCTCCTCCTCTCCCTGCTCCTCCTCCTCTTCCTCCTCGTCCTCCTCGTCCTCCTCCTCCTCCTCCTCCTCCTCCTCCATTCGGAACGCCCGCGCTCTCTTGGGCTACGGAACGCCCGCGCTCTCTTGGGTTACCAGGGCAGACGTGTCGTGGAGAAGTCCCCGTACCTCAAGTCCATGCCGCTGCGCAAGATGGTCTTGGGCATCCAGGAGGTTCACCAGAACCACGGCCAGCTCCTCGCCTTCATGCGGAAGATCGACAGCACCCTTGACATGCACTCCTCCTTCGCTCCTGGATATCATGGCACTATCAGTGGCGGGGTAGCCACTGTGTTCCCAGCTGGGATGAACGCCGTGAGCGACCCCATCTTCCCTGGCCGTGTCCTACGCTCTGTCTTCCGTGCTGGCGACCAAGTGATGATCTTCTACAATGTCCACAATTACGACCTCAGCAACGCCGCCATCCAGAACATACCTAGCCTGGTCCGCGCACGAGAAGTGCACCGAGGTCCTCTGGGATGTCATGTGCTACATGCTCAACGGCGGGATCCTCCCCGACGAAGTGAACGCGACCGTCCAAGCCTTCCTGCCCAAAGGTGACGAACCAGAGGACTCGGAACACAACGGCTGCCATCGAGACCCGTCCAAAGTCCGTGTCCTGGGATTGCGCAACACGTCCTTCAAGATCATCAGCAGCGCGATGAATGCTGCGACGGCAACGGTGGCAGTTGATGTAGTCCCAGCCTCACAGCGCGGGTTCATCCACCGGCGCATTTTCGGCTACAACATCCTCGAGTTCGACGCCGAGAGCCGCATTGCCTCGGCCGGCCCAGACGCCCAGAACATGCTGCCCGTGCTGGTGTCGCTGGACATCCGTCTGGCGCTCAAAGCCATGGGCGCTCCTGAAGCGGTCCTCATGTTCTTCGACTCCATGTGCAACAACATCCTCGCGATGGCCCCGTGCGCTGGCCAGTACGTCCCGCTTTCTACATCAGGTCGGGCATCATCCAGGGATGCGGATGGAGCGGCACGCTGTACGCGCTGGGCACTGCATGCTTCCTCCTCAACCTCGAGACCGTCCTCGAAGCCCAAGGCCGTGGTCTTTGTCGGGCATGCGCTGATGACCTTGGACTCGTCCTTCGGGCCGTTGCCTACCTCGTCTACCTCGCAGACGTCATGCTCTGCATGGGGATCCTGGCTGGTCTGGAGTTGAAGGCGCCGAAGTGCCACAGCATCCCCTTGGCAGGCCAGGTCAACGCTGATCTCATCCTCAAGCTCAAGAACGCGCTGCTTGCCATTGTCCCGAAGTTCAAGGACTTCAACGTATGCGACCGCCTCACCTACCTCGGCCTCTTGCTGGGCCCTGGCGCCACGGACCAGCTCATCCACGCGAAGGCCTTCAACAAGTACCGCTCCCGAGCCATGGCGCACAGCGCGAGCGACGCGCCAGCCGTCGGGGCCGTCTCCCTGTATAACGGGCGCGCCCTCCCCGTCCTTGGCTACCTTGCCCAGTGCGCCTTGCTCCCGCACGAGCACTTCAAACGCGAGAGTTGGATCAACGCCTCCGTCCTGCGCTTCCCGAGCGGCGCCTTCAGGCTGAAGGACTGGCCCTTTCTGAAGAACTGGGGAGTTCCCGCACCGAGGTCGCTCCAGCTCAGCACGATTGTGACGATCGTCCGCGCGGCGACATCGACATTCAAGAAGTTCACCGAGATCCACGAGAGGCTGCGCGAAGGCTTGAATTCCTACGGCATCCAGCAGACCCTCGAGGGCGCCGCGCGGGGTGTCCTCCATCTGTCACCGCCGTGGTGGAAGACGCAGGCCTTGGTGGAGACGATGCGCCAGGTCGTGTCAGCCACCTCCGACCACGGGTACTTCCCTCGCCAGCTCGTGGCGCCAGCGGTCGAGGCCTCGCGGGCGGCTGTCGCCAACGGGCAGCCTGGCCTCGCTCAGAAGCACGCCTTCGCCTCGGCCTTGGCCACCCGCGGGCCCGACTGCATCGGGCCCTTCCTGCAGGGCCGCGTCGTGAAGGAGCTCCCGCACGCTGGCGAGTTCTTCCTTCACAACCCCTCCATCATGAACGACATCCAGGCCGCCATGAAGAGACTGCCCCCATCGTGGGCGACGGCGTGGATGAGGACACTATCCTTTTCTTGGCTCACATCCTACCGCATCGCCTACCCGTGCGGTAGGCGCCTGTGCATCTTCGGCTGCGCCAATGGCCAAGACAAGATGCGCCACTGCCTAGTCTGCGCGCCGCTGGCGCAGGTTGTGGGACGTGCATGTGGCGCGCCCCCCCTCTCCACCGAGTTCGCGAAGCTCGGACTCACCGACCGGAGCAACGAGAGCGCCGAGTCCATCGCGGTTGCCTGCCTCACGTACCATGCGCTCAGGCAGGAGGCCCACGTCTCGGCGGAGGCCACCCTGTCGGCCGCGCGGGCGGCATTGCGGGCCACGAAGACCATGAAGAAGCCGCCGCCCGTGATGCGTCACCACCATCGCCGTCGACGCGAGGGGGCGGCGCCTGGACGCGGACATCCACCTGCACTTGATCGGCATCGTGAGGGAGATGCCGACGTACATCATCCACTTCGGCTCCGTGGAGCCGCCGCTGATCACGATCAGCTTCCAGTTCACGTCCGAGGAGATGTTTGGCATCCTCCTCATGGCGCGCTGCCTGTGAGCAGGTAAGCGCGTGCGCGGGGGCTGCTGGCGCCGCGCGGGGCGCGGCCGTCGGGGGCCTGGAGCCTTCCCTTCCGCACGCTCGACTCCTCCTCCTCCATTCCTTTTCCTGATAATCGCACCCCGGGGCCAGCTTGTAGGGCGGGCCGGGCGTTTCGCCTGAGACTTCCTCACCACTTGTGACCGTGAAGCTTAAACCTTGGCAAGAGTTTCACAGATGGAGGGCGGGGCTGGTTTTCAATATGTGGCTCTCGCTTTAGCGCCGCGCACATCTGTTTAAAGAAATTCTAGACGTTTCGCGTATCCCCACCAGCACCCAGGCTTTGCTCGTGAGTGCGGGCCGTGATGCAGAGGCACTGGCTGAAGGCCCTACCTTTTGCGTCACCTGTCAGTTCGTGACGTATGCCCACTGGCCTGACCCCCATCGGTGGCTTGGTGAGTGGCCTAAGTCCGCGCTGACGTTCACGCCACGTGAGTGGATCCGCCACGCTTCCTTCACGGTTGCGTTTTTTCTTCGCTCGCGCTTCCCTGCCTCCCCCCTTTCCGGTCGCCGGTCGGTACTCCACCTGCGGGTCTGGCCTGGTTTCCACCTGCCTAGTTGTGGTTGCCCTCTTCTGCTGGCACACGCTCAGCGGTTTTTGCCTGGGTCTGCGTGCCTTCGGCAGGGCTGCGGTTCGGCCCCACCTGCGGGTTGGCCTGTGCTCGTTGGTTGCCCAATTGTGGCCGCCTCTCTTTCTAATTTGTGTGCAGGTGCACTCTGCGCGGTCTCGCGCCAATTATCTGTCGCTGTGCCCCAGCCCTTTCATACCGCCCTCTGGACTTCTCCTTGCGGGCCGCGAATCAAAAAACATATCCCCACCAGCCCATCCAGAAACGATGTTCAGGCCAATTGAGGTGATCAGGGAAGTGCGGGAGCAAAGAGGGGGACGGCCGAACTGTGCGAAGGAGGGAGGAGGAGGATGGATGGACGGATGAGGGTGTTGGGAGAAGGAGGATGAATAGGATGATGCTGATGATGATGATGATGATGATGATGATGATGATGATGATGATGATGATGGTGATGATGATGATGACGATTATGATGATGATGATGACGATGATGATGATGATGATGATGATGATGATGATGATGGTGATGGTGATGATGATGAGGAGGAGGAGGAGGAGGACGGGGAGATAATGAGTAAGAGGAGGAAGGAGGAACAGGAGGATGATGGAGAGTAAAAGGGCCAGAGGTCTCTTGGATTCCTCTCGAAGCCTCTTGGGGTATCTCTTGGGAGCTTCTTGGTGGCCTCTTGGGAAGTTTTGGGGGTGTCTTGGCGGTCCTGGGGG